CAGTCCAGTCTGTTGGGGCACCACGCCCTGGCCCCAAAGTCCACCTTCAGCATTCCCTGGGGACCTCGCTGCTCCATTCCCTTGCTGTTCTGTTGCACCCCCTTAGTGTTTTTGCCTCGGTGTTCATGTTCTTAAGTGTGTGTGTGTGTGCGTGCGTGCGTGCTTGCGTGCGTGCGTGCGTGCCCGCTGCCAGTCAGTTTCCTGAGGGCGGGTGGTTTTGCCTGTGGCCGTCCCGTGGGAGCTCTGGGTCCGGCCTGGACCCGTGCCCGGCATCTAGTAGGCAGCGCGATGAGTGTGGCAGGAGGAAAGGGTGAACAAGGTCCTTTACTCCTTCCCGACTGTCCCCCTCGGACTGCAGCATCTCCCCCTCCCAACAGGTCCCATGGAACCTCGTCCTGGCCACTGGGGGGAGTTCAGCTGGACACCGGCCGCGCCCAAGCCCCGGGACCAGGTGGACAGCTCAGATGGAGCACCAGGGGCCCCGGACAACGATGGCCCCGAGACAGAAAGCCCAGCAGTGAGCACCATGCTGCGGGCCGTGGCCACCAGCCGCCTGCCTGTGTGCAGCCAGCAGCAGGGCGAGCCTGACCTGACGGAGCGAGAGAAGGTGGCCATCCTGGGCCAGCTGTACCGAGAGAAGCCGCTGGTGTTCCTGGAGCGCTTCCACACGGGCCTCCGGGAGGAGCACCTGACCTGCTTTAGCCACCTGCGTGGCGACCACCGCGCAGACTTCTACTGCGCCAAGGTGGCCCATCAGGGCACCGCCCGGCCCCGGGCCCTGCGCAACCGACGCTACGCTGCTCTGCGCGAGCTCATCCAAGGTGGGGGCAGAGGTGGGGAGGGAGGAGAGGAGGCGAGTGGGAGACTGAGACAGTAGGAAGCAAGGGCGGAAATAGAGAGACCAATCTTAGAGCCAAGCTCCTGAGGGGCATGGGGAGGGGCTGAGCTGGAAGGCAGTGAGGGAAGGGCGGGTGAGAGGTGGTGATAAACAGTGGTGAGGACAAGACACAGAGGATAAGGGGTGTCAGAATGTGGGCAGAAGTGCCATTCCACTTCAGGGGTAAAGGAGAGCACCATAGTCCACAGCCCTGCGATCACTGTCCACAGAGACACAGCGATCCCTCCCTGCCTCACGTCATACACAGGCAGTGACGGGAACATGTCTAGGGCGCTGGGACATAAACTCCATCCTGAACAAGACACAGCTGGTGAGAACAGCAATGGAGAACTCGATAGCCTTTTGGTTTGATACAATTAAGAGCATCTCGGGCCAAAGCCCTTGCACCAGAGCTAAAAGAGGAGGTCAGCTGATCTCTGTAGCGAAGGAGGAGGCACACGCTGTAGAGCAACAGAAAGACTAGGACACGGGACGAGAAGGGGGTAAGTGGGCAGGTCGGCGGGTAGATGATGGATGGGGAGGGGTTAGACAACAGGAAGTGAGGTGCAGGCAGGGACAGAGGGGTAAAGGAGAGAAACAGATCCAGAGAGAGGAGGTGGAAGAGCTCGGAAGAGGGAGGGTAGGAGAGAGACCCAGCGGGGTGAGACCCGGGACACAGACTCCAGACAGACCCTCCTGGGCTTTCTCGGCCCTGGGCTCTGAAGCCAGGGCCAGGGGACAGGAGGGGCCAGGGGACAGGAGGGACCAGGGGCCGCAGGTTTAACTTCTGTGGGAACAGGCATCGGGGAAGGGCAGGAGTCCAGAGCCTCCGAGGGAGTGGGGAGCAGAGAAGAGCACCCTGTGAAGGGGCGAGCAGGCGCCCCGGGTATGTGGGCAGCAGGTTGCTTGCACAGTTGCGCCCCGCCCTGCCTGCTGTTGCAGACGCAGGCTCACAGTTACCAGTGCGGGACCAGGCAGCCCGGTGCATGCGGCCACCACGCTCGACCACCAGGTGTGCCGAGCTCACCTCATGCCCACGGACCGCCGAGTGTGCACAGACCCTGCTGGGGTGGTGGGCATGTGTGTGATCTGCAGAGCCTGGTCACATACACATTGGGACCGGCGGGGACACTTGTGTGCCCGTCGCCTGTGCACACCAGCTCAGCCACACGCCTCAGCATGTTCCCACAGGGCGGCGTCCGTCACGTGGAAAGCCCGGAGGTGCATCCTACCGGCTGCACTGCACACGCCCAGCACCACCCCGCCCCTGTCTCCTCGTGCAGGGGGTGAGTACTTCAGTGACGAGCAGATGCGCTTCCGGGCCCCCCTGCTGTACGAGCAGTACATCGGCCAGTACCTGACCCCCGAGGAGCTCAGCGCCCGAGGCCCCGCACCTCAGCCCCCTGGCACCCCGGCCTGCCCGCTCTCGGACCTGCTGCTGCAGTCCTACCAGGAGTGGGAGGTGCGGCAGCGGCTGCTCCAGCAGCAGGAGGAGGAGGAGGCCTGCCTGGAGGAGGAGGAGGAGGATGAAGAGGACGGCAGTGGGGAAGGTGAGGGGCAAGCAGGCCCTGTGTCCCGACACCCCTGTCTCTGTGGCCTCCCACCACCTTGGCCCGCCCCAGCCTCTGTTCCTCCCGCACACAGAGCCACTGCGGTGACCTCAGAGGCTTGGAGGAAGGTCTGCAAGGCACCCCTCAGGGGCCCGCCCCTGGCCCGGCTGGCACACAGTGCATGTTGGTACTGCATCCGGGAGGCAGGGACCCCTGGAGCAGCACAGGCTGGGCAGAGGCAGCACTCTCCAGCCCAGTGTGATGTCCCCACAGGCGAGAGCCCCGATGGAGACTCGGAGGCCCGGGTCCCCGATTCGGAGGAGCGGCTGATCCTGCGAGAGGAGTTCACCAGCCGGATGCACCAGCATTTCCTGGACGGCAAGGACGGAGACTTTGACTATAGGTGCGCGGCTCCTGCCCCAACGGCCTGGGCCCTGGATGTGGGGGAGGAGCAGGGGTGACAGCAGGACCCCAGCTTCCAGGTGTCCCACAGCACCCCAGAGCGAGACCCCGTGTCCCACAGGACGTAGCCTTGGGTTTCTCCACTGTCACAGCGAGGGCAAGAGCTCTGGGGAACGATTTTGCCTTCGGGGAGCAGGACACAGAAGAGTGGGGGTTTCCGGGTCAGAGAGAAGTGTGGCCCAGAGGCACAGAGCCCAGAGCTGGCAGCAGATGGCCCAAGGTCAAACCCCACCCTGGCTACTTCTGAGCATCGTGACCCTGAGCAGATGCGGACCCTACATGGCACCTTGCCTCAGGGGCCACCTGGAGGGCAGCACCGGTAACTCGACGATGCCCAGCTGGCCTGGGGCCCCAGCTGCAGGTTGGGATCTAACTGACCTTGTCCAGCAGAGTCCCAGGCCAGGGCCCGGGGGGCGCCTCCACCTGTGAGGACCGCGGACCTGGCATGTGTCCCCTGAGCAGTGGATCTGCAACCAAACTGTCTTCCAAAAGCAGCTGCCCTGGGGCAGTGTTTCCCGGCTCCTGCTCCCCAGCCACTGCCTTGGGAACATGGCCCCGTGTGGCTTGTCGGCCAGCTGTCCAAGACTCGCTACAAAGCCAGCCTGCCTTGCTGTGTGTGGCTTTAAGCCCCAAGAGGTCCAGGGGCCCCTTCTGAGGCAGTGTTGGTCCCCAGGCCCCTGCCCTCTGCCCTCCTGGAGCCCCAGGGTGCCCCAGCTCCCCTGAGCTGTGGGCAGCAGGCAGGCAGCCTCTGACAGCCCCTTCCCATGGCAGCACAGTGGACGACAACCCCGACTTCGACAACCTGGACATCGTGGCGCGGGACGAGGAAGAGAGGTACTTCGACGAGGAAGAGCCGGAGGACGCGCCCAGCCCAGAGCCAGATGGAGACTGATACCTGAGCCCCCCCGCCCCCCCCCAACAAGACAGCTGATGGCAGCCGGGCTCCATGGCTCTTTGTCTAAGGGGTGCCAGGGCAGATTCCCACACATCAGCCCGCCAACTGCCCCTTCCTAGCCTGTCTCTATCTCTCTCTCTCTGTCTCTCTCTCTCTCTCTCTGTCGCCGTCTGTCGTTTCTGGCTCCCTGCCTCGCACCGTGCCCGTCTCCTGCCTTCCACCTCACCGCCTTGGGCCCACTCTCCACTGCACGAGTCTCGAGTCTCTCCTGCTCCTTGACAGGCCAGTGGGGCTCTTGCTAGCTGGATTGGCCAGGTTGGCGCCGAGACCATCTCCGAGTGGGGTCTGACGCTCTTCCTGCCTGCATGGACAGGGCCGTCTGTCTCTCAGGCTTTATCGCTGTCTGTCTGCCGTCCCCCACACAGCTAGCAGCGGAGCCCTGGGTGCTGAGTGCGCGCCTCACACGGGGGGAGAGTGGGCGACAGGAGGGGCAACCCGGGAGAGGTGGGCAGAGGCAGAACCAGGGATCCCATCAGGGGCTGCCAGCTGGAGGGGGGACGAGAGAGTCCTCCCCTCCCAGCCCCCTGCCCCCCTCTTCCCAGCCACAATTTTCCCTTCCTTCACTTCCTCCGCCTCCCTGGCCTGTTTACACTCCCCACATATGCACAGGCTGTTATCATGGGTCCTGAGTCATCCCCACACAGGCCGGCCCAGCCTCCCTGCCCCCAGCCGGCCACAGGCCCGCCCGCCCCACGGAGCCCCCTGCCGCCCCGGGCTAATGGGAGCCAGATGGCCGCGGGGGGACTCAGCCAGCTTCTGGCCCGTGGGAACTCAGGCACCTCGCCTTCCCATGCCCCCACCCCACCAGCTCGGCCCCAGTACACACACTACATACAGAGACACCAGGGCCAGGAGGGTGGAGCCAGGAGACCAGGACCCCTCACTCCTGTTAGAACAGTGGACCACCGCCCGTCAACTTCCACCTCAGGCATGCAGCCTGGAGTGGGACAGACCCAGGACCTCCTGGGACCTGGTCTCACCACCATGGCGTCAGCTCTGCCCCCTGGGTGGCCCCAGGGAGGTCCCACCCACAAAAGTGAGCTGTTCAGATGGGCCCAGCTGCCTGCCAGGGCCTGTGAGCCGGGTGGCATGGGCTCCCCATCACCGACGGCCCAGAAAGGAGGTGCTGCTCACTCAGGGCTGCACAGCCCCCGGGGGTGGCTGAGACCACCACCCCGCTCTATAACCAGGCCCGCCCACCTGTGGATAGTGGGCCGGCAGACAGGCAGCTGCTCATGCTCCACCCTCACCCGAGGGCCCTGCACACCCTGGGTGGCAGTGTCAGTCAGCGGTCCTAACAGCCCTGGGCAGTAACAGCAGCACCACCCCACCTCCGGGAGTCCCGTCCGGTCAGCCACACGCCCAGTTCCTTGGGAAAGAGGCATCCTTCAGGCTGGTGCCTGTGCCAGCTGTTGGTAAAACTACCGGGGCCTGGCTCTCTGCTGCCAGCAGGCACGTTGCTGAGCACCCTCCCATGCTTTCGTTACACAGAAGGGCTTCCAAAAGTTCGTGGGAAAAAGGTCATGGAAAGAGTGGGATTTTAATACAATGCGTCCGAACTGTTGACTGTGAAACGGATGGTCTGCTCTGTAAGCCTGGACCTGATCCACAATAAAACGTTTCTAAAAAAAAAGGGTGGGCTTTTCCTACAAACTTTTTGATGCCCCTCGTGGATCCTGCCCTAATGAATGAGACCTCGACCCCAGCAACTCTCCTTGGCCCACGTGTTGCGTAGGGGAGAGGGGTGGAAAACACGGGATGTGAGGGAGACGGCCCTTGAGTCAGACTAAGTCCACGGGGCTTAGTCAGTGCAGAAGCGAGTTAAGGAGGTTGTGGCCCAGACCCAGAGGTGGAGCCCTGACGGGGACAGGATTAGACAGGGAGACGGCAAATCTCAGAACAGGGCCTGGATGACGAGAGACACACCCCCGTCACGGCCACCCCCCAGCAACAGACCTGCCGGCGGCGCCCTCCTGCCGCCACCCCAGGAGGCCCAGCGGGGGCCAGCCAGCCTCTGCCTGCCCCCCCTCGTGTCTGGCTTGTCCCAGTGCTGCCATTGCTCTGCTGTACGCCCCCCCGCCCAACTCTGCCTCCTGCCAGAGTTAAGCCTCCACGCCTGTCACTCCGTCCCTACCCAGCACTATCCTCCTCCCACCTTCTCATCCACTGTCCCCACAATCCCCCTCTCTATACTCCCCTTCTGCTGTGATCCTGTCTCCCCACCCGCTTCTCCCATGGGCTCCCTCCTTGCTGCTGCTGCCTTTTGTTTTTCCTAGGCCTCTCTGGGCCGCTGCACCACCTCTGCCCTCCCCAGGCCCTGGGACGCCAGGTCAGAGCTTCATGGGTGGCCCTGGAAGCCAGGCACGAGGGGTCCCCATCCCACCCCTACCCCGAGAGGACGGGAGGTGGACATGGAAGCTGCAGGCCTGTCTGGCCAGGAGGAAATGTCTGCTGCGCTGTGGCCTGGTCACCCCGCCCCCAGGACCCGTTGGGCTGCGGCCGCCCCCAGGCTGGGGCCGAGTAAACAGAGCCGGGATATTTATACTGAGGGCCGGGCGCAAGTCCAGTGCCCACTGCAGCCCCTGCCTGCCCTGCCCTGCCCGCTGCCACAGCCAGCCCCGAGCCAACGTGGCACCAGCAGGCAAGGGGACGTACCGCAGACACAGCCACCACTCAGCGCAAAGGCCAGCCAGCGCTGGCCGCTCAGGATGTCAGTGGCTGCCCCGGGGCCACGGGACTCCCCCTTCTCGGCCCCAGCCCACAATGCAGACAGGCACACTCAGTGCAGCTGCCCAGGCGCATGCTCCCCAGCCCAGCCCGGAAAGAAGTAGAAATGCCCTCTGGGTGACACAGACCAGAGACCACGCTACTCACAAAGCTGGTCACACACAGGCACCAGAGGCAGAGCTTACGCACACCCCACACAGCCCTCCCTCAGACACACAGACGGGCTCAGAGTATGCATACACCCAGACACACACTCATATAAAACACACAAAGTACCCCCCCTCCCAGAAGCCCGTCTTGCCTCACAGACCCACCCTCGAACTTAACACCCCTAAACCACCCACATTTCAAGCCGGCTTGACAAGGGACAACTAACTGTCCCCAGGGGTGTCGAGCAAAGATGCCGAGGACAATTCAGACACCCCAGGCCCATGCACTCAGACCAGCCTGGCCAGGCCCCACAGAGGGCCACCAAACGCAGCCACACCGGAAGCATAGCACACAGGGAGCTCCCAGGAACACCCGCTGTCGCTCAAGCCCAAACCCCACCGCCCTGTGAGCCCCTCTGCCTCACGGCCACCCTACAGGACGGGGTAGAACGGTCCCTGTCTGAGGCGGTAACTCGTTATGGGAGCAGACAGCTGCCTCTTTCTCCCGTGGACAGAATGGTGAATCCAAACTGCTGAGTTGTGGTTAGCAGCCCAAGAAGTAACCCGCCACACGCCACCAGGCTTCCTCACACCAGCCCCAACGTTCCAATTGTGTTCAAGACACAAAGCCCAAAGGCTGGGGGGAAACGAGTCTCCTTGGCCCTCGCTCTCATGCACGCGCATGCACTGCGCGTGACCCTGGTCCACCCTGCCTGGGGGAGGGGGCAGGAAGACCTGAGCTGGCCTCCTTGGGCCGGCTTCCTGCCCTGTGGGGGCCTGACGGGAAGCTAGGGCTCCAGCCGGAACCCAGCTCCCCCCACGACTTCCCTCCGCCTGCCTGTCTGCAGGGGTGGGGGCAGGCAGGGGGTGGGGAGGGAGAGGGGTCCCCGAACCCCTTGCCCTGCCCGGGCAGTTGGCTGCGGGCAGGGCCAGGCATGTCCAGTCCGGGCCGGCCACTAGCAGGCCCAGGGTGCCAGGGCCAGGCAGGGTGCTGAGCCCACACTTTCCGTGCCAACCCCGCCCTGTGCTGCAGCTCAGCGGGCGGCCGCCTCAGGGCAGGTGGGTGGGCGTGTTGCGAGGGGAGGGCCGGTGTGGGCTGGGAGGGGGGCGGGCGGGCAGCAGGTGTGGGGCCACTGCCTATCCTCAGGCCAAGGCACGAGCTGGGCTGGGCGTGTGAAGGCCGAGTCTGGACCCAGCTGGGGGTGTGTCCTCCTGTGTGGGAGCTGCTTGTCTGGGCTCCTGGGTGTGACAATGTGTCTGGCTATGACAGGCAGCCCGCAGGCTCTGTCGGTGCAATGGCATCCACAGCACCCATTCAAGCCCCTGAGCGTGCCCGGCCCTGGCGGGGTGACATAACCTGTTTCTGTCTGCAAACCTGTGGGGCTGTGGCCCTGCCGGGTGGTGGGACAGGCCACGTGTGTCCATGGACACTGCGCCCAAGGTGGCGCTGAGAGGTGAACATGTGGGAGGTCTGAGGGCCTCGTGGGTTGCACACTGGGCGAGTGTCCACCAAGTCAGCCGCTGGAGACCATGCGCTGAGAAAAAGACAAGACAGCCTGCTCCCGTACAGTCACAGAACGACGCAGTGGCAGTGTGTCCGCATGCATGCGTGGCCGCAGCACTGTGCCCCTGAATGCGCTCTGGAGCCAGGCCTCCATGGTGGTGACAATGGGGACAACACCCTAGGGCAGTCACCTCAAGGCCCCAGCTCTCGGGCAGGAGGACTTAGCCCATTTCCACTCTCTAGCTGAGCTGGGTACCCCCCTCCAGTGTGGCAAGCCACCCACACTCAGACCCTGGGCTACCACAAACAAGCAAGGGGCCATCCAGGGTCCCACCTGCCAGGGCAGGGCTGGAAGGAGGAGCAAGCCCAGGGGGCCAGCCTGGCTCTGGGAAAGGCAGGGGAGAGGGCGGAAATGAAACCTGGGGCAAGGTGGCTGGAGAGCCCTCACAGGCAAGAATGCAGCAGAGAGGGCAGCAGAAGCAGGAGAGAGATCGTCCCCCACGCCCAGCTCAGACCACTGCCCTCTCTGACCCGGAAATTGACAGTCCCCTTCTCAAGGGTCTCGGTGTGGCCACCCTGGCCTTCCTCCACCCACGCTATCATCAGCCAGAGGAGTTCTGTAGGCACAGGCTCCTGTCCAAATCCCAGCTACCTCACTCCCGCAGGGCCGTCCCCGATCCCATAGGCCTCTCTGATCTAGGAGGCAGGGCTAGCGCAGGGCTGAGGAGCAGGGGCTGCCAGCACCCACCCCCTTACCAGCAGCCCCCTCTGTAAAATGGGGATCAAATGGTCTCTCCAGCAGCGGTTGGCAACCGTTTTCTCTGAAGGACCGGAGAGTAAAACACTCAACTTGGCGCTAAAGCAGACATCAACTGCCCGTCTCGTGTTCTAACAGTTTTATTCACAAGAACAAGTGGCATCGGCCGGGGCGGGGGAGGCTTGCAGTTTACCAAGGGCCACAAATGAGATTGGTTGTAGAACTGTTATCCCTTGGTGGGGGGGCGGGGGTCATAATCTGACCCCCACAACTCTGGGGTTGATTCCACTCCACATCACAGCAAGCATACCCAAGTGCACGGGTAACAACTGCTCCCTAAACTAAAAACAAAAATAAATCCACACTCACTGCCATCAAGTGGGTCCTGGCTCCCAGCGACCCTAAAGGAGAGGCTGAGCTGCCCCTGTGGGTTTCGGAAGTGGCACCTCTTGACCAGAGTAGAAAGCCTCGTCCTTTCCCCGCAGAGCGGATGCTAGGTTAGAACCTCTGACCCTGCAGTTGGCAGCCCGATTCCTAACCCACTGTGCCACCTGGGCTCCCGAGAACTGCTCCCAAGGTGCTGACTTTGGGGACGCCCGCTACCTTCTAGTGGATTCGGACTGGCCGCAACTCTATAGGGCCAGAGAACAGCCCCAGTGAGGTCCCGAGATGTAGCTCCACGGAAGCAGAAAGCTGTCTCCTGCACAGCGGCTGGCGATTTCAAACCGCTGGCCCCCCACCCCCACCCCAGTAACCGCTTTCCTATGACTGTCACAGACGGACCCACCCACCAACCTTTAGGTGAGGATGCCCGCGCTTAACCCATCGCGCCACCAGGGACCCTCTGGGGCCAGCGCCTACTATGCCAGCAGGGATGCGGTGCAGGGGTCAAGTGACCTTGACCGGAGGCCAGGGGGGGGATCTCCATCAGCCCTGCCTCCCCCACCAATGACACACCAACTCCTGGTTCTCTCTCCACCTTTAATGACCCCCCAGGTGGACCTGGGAACGCAGGCGTCCTTAAATACAGCCCCCCCCCACGCCCGGGGCGGG